GTAGAATTATTCTTAGGACTGATAATTATATGACGCAGAGGAATTTCCATGCATGTCAAGCCCTTAGAAAGTGTTCAAAGATACTTATGATCAGTAAAAGGTTTTTTCTAGTTTACTGTTATCTGTTGAGAAAATATGTATTATTAATGAATATCAGTAATATCAAATTATTTACGACTGTTTCAGAAATTTATGTCATAGTTTGTGATACAATAAACTAGTGACATGAAGATCAGAAATAGAAGAATATGATTCTTGGTGAAATAACGTGGGGTTTCTAAAAAAATATCTATGGGATTTATTTTGTTGGATCAAAACTTGTTGTTACGATAAAAAAAACAGAGAGATTACCGGTAAGTTCTATGTACATGCCTCTAGGATATATTAATTATATGTTTACAATCTATTAATAATACGTATATTCAAAATGATGCAATATATTTAATCTACTTTATTTTATTCAAGTAGGTGGTATGTGAAAATTTTTCTGATTTGAAAGTAGTCCTAATCACAAACAGATATCAACTGAAGAAATATCGAAAGTAAGAAAGCATTTGATAAATGTCTAATTCTGATTCGAGTCTCAACACCCGTAACTTGTGGAGTCAAGACCAATGACTTCACATCTCATAAATAACACGATACAATATTAAAAAAGGTGCAATCATTTAGGAACATTGATCAATTTTTATCCAGTATTCTAAGTAGTAAACTGCCTCGATTTTGAATTTGTTGACTCCATGAATTATAGTTTCTCATTGGAACTTAAAAAAGAAAATCCAACTGATAACTGGGCGTTAGTGAGAACGTGACTATTATTATTATTATTATTATTATTATTATTATTATTATTATTATTATTATTATTATTATTATTAATTGATGGATTGTAATTACTTGCCTTTATCTCTAAAGCTGTTCCTAGTACTATATTTTGCTTGCATCTACTATGGTTAACACAAATTGTTCTTTCCTGAAATGTCGTGAAATTCTTAATTTTTGTTACTTATCGTATTTTCAATAGTTAAAATCATGAGTCAATTGAAGCTAGACCACCATGGAAAACTTGGAAGCACTAGACGGCCTTTTCGTCCTAGTATGGGACTCTTCAGCAGTGCGCATCCACGATCCCTCAGCTCACTGAAGACAGTGGTGACGGTGGTGCAATTTCGTGGATTAGTTGAAGTTAGACATTAACACCATTGGATGCCGGCCCAGTAGTCTGATGGTTAAGCGCTCGAGCGCGAGACTGATAGGTCCTGGGTTCGAATCTCACGGGGGGGGCGGGATCGTGGATGTGCACTGTTGAAGAGTCCCATACTTGGACGAGATGGCCGTCCAGTGCTTCCAATTTTTTCTATGGTGGTCTAGCTTCATTTGACTCATGATTTCAACCATTGAAATTACTGAAATCTCCACAAAACCCCTTCTGATAATTATCGTATTTTTTTATTTACTGTAAAATCATCACTATTAAACATGAAAATAAATGTACTTATGAATAGTGATGTTATTTCACATAGTGATATTTTGTTCAGGACAACACATTGAATAAGGTTTTTATTATACCTTAATATTCCAACCTTCTCTATGTTTGTTTAAATAGATTTGTTATGTTAGAAGATATAATTATACACTTTTCCATAGATAAGTTATAATGATAATAATCTATACTATTTAATGCTTTACATGTGAATTATGATAAAAACAATATAATTTAAAAACTGGTTGTTAATTAGATGGTAACAATGAAGCTAAGTAATGTTCAGAAATATTTTATAATTTCATTTACTAAGAGTTGTTTTTTTTTCTTTATGAATAGCCAGACCAGTATTCAGTTGACCTTGTTTTATTTATTTAAGAAAAAAGAAAAAAAGAGAAACAAAGGAATTTCATTTCTGTTGTGTTTGTTAACAACTATATACGATGGTTTACCTGTATCACAAGATCTAACTGACTATAAAAGTTTGTTTTTTCTTATCATTACAATTATTTAGTTATTTATAGATTCCAGCTACTCATCATAATTAATTAGAGAATTATTATTGAGTTTTCTGTGCCAGTTGAACTAGTGACATTTTATTTGTGATGATCATACGGAATAAGTTCATATGTTTACCATTTAAATTATTGTTGTTTACCTATTTGTACTTTTTTCTTCTAAAATAAAAGCTTAAGCTATGTGTCCGAGAACAAATGATTCATTAAAGAAGATTCTATTAAGTTAATAAAAATAAATTAAAGTTACAGCTTACCTGGAACGAAGAAGAACAACTAGTCCGAATGGATTCGCTCCAAAGATCTTTAAGGATGGTGGTCCAGTCTTATCGATTAGGTTGATTAATATTTTAGCTAAAATCTGGGAGTTGGACGTAATTCTATCTGACTGGTCACAATCACTGATTGTTTCATCCTGTGATAACCATAGAGGGATTATTTTGACTAATATGGCATCTAAAATACTGACCTCAATAATTATCGGGCACCTAACAAAGACTTGTGAACTGCAAACACGAGGAAATCAGGCTGACTTCAGACCTTGTTGTGGCTGCATCGACCACATATTCACTATTCGTCAGATTTTAGAACACAGATATGCTTATTGGCGTCTAACAATGGTGGTCTTTCTTGACTTAAAAGCAGCATTTGACTCTGTGGACTGAGAAGTACTGTGACAGTGTCTGTCATCAGAAGTACCTAGACCTTGTGAAGGCTTTTTACTCAAACAGTACCAGTCGAGTGAGAGCTTATGGAGAACTGTCACCTGCTTTTACAACCTCAAGTAGTATCTGTCAGGGCTGTCCACCATTTCCTTTTTTGTTCAATTTCATCATAGTCCCACTGATGGAAATAACATTCTTTTCGATTGGATTTTCAGTAATTGACCTCCTACCAGGAGGTTCACTTATCTACTTAGAATACGCAGATGACATAGTTCTGTCTGGTGAAGATGCTGATAAAATGCAAGGTCTTTTGGTAGCACTGAGAAACGAGGCCAGAATGCTTGAGATGCGCTTCTTATCCTATAAATGCAAATTGTTGCTTCATGATTGGGTTGCATCGGCACCTGAACTAATCGTAGTGAGTGAATTAGTTGAACGTGTCTTGGACGTCTAATCAGCCTTAATGGATTGGTGTCTGACGAAATCTCAGCCTGGATTCAGAAAGCTCGTCTGGCTTTTGCCAACTTACGTCACCTGTGACGAAGGCGAGATATCCGTCTATTAATTAAGGGAGGAGTATACTGTGTGGCAGTTCGTTCTGTTGTACTTTATGACTGTGAAACGAATTCATTTAGGGTAGAAGATACTCGTAAGCTATTAGTACTTGATGACAGATGTTTTTGAAATATTACTCACATCTGTTGGGATCACCGGGTAAGTAATAGTGAGGTCAGATGTAGGGTATTGGGGGATGATGGTAGATCAATTGATGAGGTTGTAAATCTTCGTCGACTGAGATCGTTGGGCCGCGATTTATGTATGCCTGAACACCGATTACTATGACTTGTAATGCTGATTAGTTGGGGATGGCTGGAAGAAAGTTAGGGGCGACCAAACCAAAACACTGGATCAGTGCTTGAAGTCACTTACTTCTAGTCTGAGTCATTTTGGTATATGCAGACTACTTGGTTGGGGTGCGCGCGACTATCGTAACCAATGTTTGGAGACTGTGGGTGACATGGCTCAGAATCAATCACAGTGGCGTCATTGTATACACTCTTTGTCTTCCCTTAAACCGTGAGATTAAAATTGCTTCATATCTTTCTTTCTACGAACTAATTCTTTCTTGCTGTACTATATCCTTATACACAATCTTTCTTTTATATATTACCACCATTGAATTAAGTACTTCTATGAATCCGGTGTTCATCTTGCTGTGCTAATGTGGTACGGCAACTTGGACCGATGCAAATATATGCCTGGTCCTACGTTATAGCTGACTAACATAGACTGAAGTTACAGTATAACAATAAAATTTAACTGTTGTTGTCGATGTAATATCTTATGTCGTTGAATCACATCAGTTTTTATTAAAAAATTATCTAGAAATTATATAAATCTTTAAAAATCCCCTTCAGAAAATGTCACTTGAAATTCTAGGTTTTTAGTTTAATATTTAACGAAAATGATGAACTACTTATGTTGTGAGGTTTCTTTTTCATACTTTCTTTACATAAATGACCACTAATGAAAAGCAAACTTCATAATATAATTAGTTATTTCATCTAAATACATACACATACATTGAATATGGAAATGTTGAGATATAGTTTCCTTTAATTGGTATTACTTAGTTTATTATTTTGATATTTAATTAATCTCACAGCGAACCGATCTATCATTCACTGATCTAGGAAATGTTACTGATAAACAATTATTTCTTAAAATTTTTCCATGAAGTAAACATTCTAATGAAAACTAATAGATTATGTCATGGTTAGAATATACTGGAAATTCTCAGTTCTGACTGATTGACTGACTGAATAAGGCTTTGAATATTGAATATAGTTGATAAATAAACTTTTTAATGTTCTTATAAGATATGAAGTGGAGTGAATATAGAACATTTATAAACTTTTTCATCAGACAATAGATAGATTTGATTGTTCATAGTATCGTTGTATGAATCACACTGTTTGTAATGATAATGTGTTGTTTACCTGAAATTTGAACCATTTTCATCTTTATCTATAAATTATAACAATGATGAATCGGTTATTCTGTCTAATTTATTGATAAATGAATTGATTCTCGGTACTTATTCTTTTCTATTGTTCATTTTGAAAATATAAAAATGTAGTTGTTCAACTAAATACTTTTATCTTCACTACCTTGTTTCCCATGATTTTGTATTAGATGAACCAAATTACAAAAAAGTTTTAAGTGACATTTATTAAACAGTTCACTTCATCAGTCAACTTTTTAAAATTAATATCCACAAGCATAAAGAAAGTTTCAGAACATATTCATAAACTATATTCTATTATATCATATTAAATGTTTGTTTATTTCTATTCTAAAAATGTCTTATCATCATCATCATCATCATCATCATCATCATCATCATCATCATCATCATCATCATCATCATCATCATCATCATCATCATCATCATCATCATCATCATCATCATCATCATCATCATCATCATCATCATCATCATCATCATCATCATCATCATCATCATCATCATCATCATCATCATCATCATCATCATCATCATCATCATCATCATCATCATCATCATCATCATCATCATCATCATCATCATCATCATCATCATCATCATCATCATCATCATCATCATCATCATCATCATCATCATCATCATCATCATCATCATCATCATCATCATCATCATCATCATCATCATCATCATCATCATCATCATCATCATCATCATCATCATCATCATCATCATCATCATCATCATCATCATCATCATCATCATCATCATCATCATCATCATCATCATCATCATCATCATCATCATCATCATCATCATCATCATCATCATCATCATCATCATCATCATCATCATCATCATCATCATCATCATCATCATCATCATCATCATCATCATCATCATCATCATCATCATCATCATCATCATCATCATCATCATCATCATCATCATCATCATCATCATCATCATCATCATCATCATCATCATCATCATCATCATCATCATCATCATCATCATCATCATCATCATCATCATCATCATCATCATCATCATCATCATCATCATCATCATCATCATCATCATCATCATCATCATCATCATCATCATCATCATCATCATCATCATCATCATCATCATCATCATCATCATCATCATCATCATCATCATCATCATCATCATCATCATCATCATCATCATCATCATCATCATCATCATCATCATCATCATCATCATCATCATCATCATCATCATCATCATCATCATCATCATCATCATCATCATCATCATCATCATCATCATCATCATCATCATCATCATCATCATCATCATCATCATCATCATCATCATCATCATCATCATCATCATCATCATCATCATCATCATCATCATCATCATCATCATCATCATCATCATCATCATCATCATCATCATCATCATCATCATCATCATCATCATCATCATCATCATCATCATCATCATCATCATCATCATCATCATCATCATCATCATCATCATCATCATCATCATCATCATCATCATCATCATCATCATCATCATCATCATCATCATCATCATCATCATCATCATCATCATCATCATCATCATCATCATCATCATCATCATCATCATCATCATCATCATCATCATCATCATCATCATCATCATCATCATCATCATCATCATCATCATCATCATCATCATCATCATCATCATCATCATCATCATCATCATCATCATCATCATCATCATCATCATCATCATCATCATCATCATCATCATCATCATCATCATCATCATCATCATCATCATCATCATCATCATCATCATCATCATCATCATCATCATCATCATCATCATCATCATCATCATCATCATCATCATCATCATCATCATCATCATCATCATCATCATCATCATCATCATCATCATCATCATCATCATCATCATCATCATCATCATCATCATCATCATCATCATCATCATCATCATCATCATCATCATCATCATCTCATCATCATCATCATCATCATCATCATCATCATCATCATCATCATCATCATCATCATCATCATCATCATCATCATCATCATCATCATCATCATCATCATCATCATCATCATCATCATCATCATCATCATCATCATCATCATCATCATCATCATCATCATCATCATCATCATCATCATCATCATCATCATCATCATCATCATCATCATCATCATCATCATCATCATCATCATCATCATCATCATCATCATCATCATCATCATCATCATCATCATCATCATCATCATCATCATCATCATCATCATCATCATCATCATCATCATCATCATCATCATCATCATATGAACTGACATCCTAATATAATAATCACATTAATATTGTGATAAATTTTACAATTAACTATTTGGCATCATTTATTGTAATTTGACAATATGGTTTGTTTTTTGCCTACCAAAGTTTAGAAAAAAAATTTTATCAATCAGCATCATACATACGTAAATATTTATTGACATCTAATGGATACAACAGATATGAAGCAGTAATAGTGTTTTTCTTTTTTTTAAAAAAAAAAATTAATAAAAGAGCACTTTTAAAGTACCTTGTGATTGATATTTTACAAATTAAAATAATATTGATTATTAATAACATCAAGATATCTATATCACATCTGATCGATATTGATTATCGATAGCATTATTATTTAATGTATATAAATAATCATTATTCAAAATCTATTGTGATGAATGAAGTTCGCTTAGATATAAAACAAAAGAAAAAAAAAGGCATAAAATTCAAGCAAGCAATGACTCTTCAATGAATATTTTCTACCAAAGTTAAGTAATTTTAAGGGTTAAGTTATGCGATAAAATAAATAATACTGATTACATAGTAATAGTAATAATAATGATAATAATAATAATAATAATAGAATGTAATAATAACTTGTCATATATATAAAATCAATAAAATATTGTGCAATCATTTAAGCATTTATGTGACAAAAGAATAGATGTAAAATTAGCCTAAGTTATTTTATTGATTATGAAAAAAAAGAATATTTATACAAGGGTGCAGGGAGGATGATTAAAAGTTTTTGATGGAGTTTTGTTCTCTAAGTTGGATGGTTTGGTCGTAGAGCTTTCATCGTTCTTCCACGACCAAACCATCCAGCTTAGAGAACGAAACTTCACCAAAGTCATCCACCTGAGCTACAAATCTTCTCCACCATGATTAGAAGTTCTTTTGTGGAATTTTGATTGAGTTCAATTTATTAACCAATTTATATTATAAATTTAAGATCATTTGTGGAATTTTCTTAAATTTCTGTGATAATTAAAAGTATTTGAATTATAGTACAAACTAAGAATCCAAGAAATAACGTAATTTAATCAAGAAATACTAGATAAACACGAATGAATGTATTGTATTTGGAATTCAAAATCAAGCATTTAAAAAGTAGAAATGAATCATTAGTTCATACAAACACTACATCCGCCAGAGCATAAATTGCAGTCTAACTGTCTGTAATTTATTTACGTCTTTTCTTTATGTTGATCCTGTGTCTATGCGACAGTGTATTGGATGTAGACTCTGGATGATCTAGAATGTACTCATTAGTATTAGGATTAACAACTGGAGCGGACTTACCTGGGTCTTGGAATTGTATACAATCACCATGTTGGTTGTGTAGCAAAACTACTGGTATCTAGAATTTGAATCACAGATCTTTCATCATTAACCTCCCCCACGAAATAACGTTGGATCTTCATATCCCCAAGTTATGAATAATGTGACTTCATTTAAAACTTATATCGTACATTGACTAGAGTATTCATTAGAAGTGACTTCATGATAAGAATAAACAACAGTTGATATGAAATCATCCTAAATGTAACCATATTTGAGCTCGTTTAGTACTCGTGCTTCTCATTGAACAAGTTTCCCACAAGAAGCAAATGCATTATGAGGATAAGTAATATATGATATAACATCAGAATTTGATTCTTCTGAAATAGTTTCCTCAAATTTAATAAGAATTTCATTAAAGAATAATGGATCATTAGAAAAATCAGCACCAATCAAAACTGTATCAGGTTTTCGATCATGATTTGATTCACTCAACATATTTTCCTCAGATTTACAAGGAATTTCATCAGAAATATGTGAATCATTAGAACAAACCAAATCCGATACAATAATATAAGAAATCTGATAAGTTGGTTGATTAGAAACTTTTGTCTCACAGTGATTCTGAGTTTTATTTAACTCTGGACTGCTATGTGACTCTATACCGCTTTTCGAAGTCGTGGAAAAAGATAAATGATCATTAGAAACACCCTACTTAATAGGACCACAATTACAAATTTTGGCATTAGTTGCAGTGAAATGAACCGTAGTATTACAAACTGACTGAATTGGTCAAATCTCACCATATTTAAAGCACTTAAAACTACCAAATAAACACATGAATTAAATGAGTGGAACTTGCCACAGGACAAACATTAACCAAACTTGTGCCCACCTTTGTGAACCCCATCGCAACTCCTCAGTAAATTATCTGCATGACCTTGAGTACGCACTGGATTTGGATGACGTAGTAATGTAGTGGAATTTTTGATGTCCTGATGAATCATTTTACGAAATCCTCCCCCTTTACCGCATTCGAAATTTGTATACTTAACATAGTCTAGTAGTAGTTCCTTGAGAGTTGCATAAGGAAGCGAAATAGGCATTTCTGGTGAAGCCAAAGTTTTTAATAAGTTATATGCTTTTTTTTGATGAATGTAAGGAAATGTGCCATAATATTAACATCCTCAACGTCTTCCTTGGTCATAGCCCAGATTTCGAACCTTTCCACGTAATCCTCAAAAACATCAAAATCTGAATGTATGTCCAACCATTCCATCAAAGGCTCCATCGCGACGCGAATGTGACAATTAGAAGTATTTGAATTATAATACAAACTAAGAACCCAAGAAATAACGCAGTTTAATCATGAAGTACTAGATAGGGACAAACGAAAGTACTGTATTTGTAATTCGAAACCAAGCAGTCAACAAGCACAAAGGAATCATTAATTCATACAAACAGCACAATTTCTCAAACTGTGAGATCTTTGATAAATATTTATTTCAGTCACAACTGATACCAACCGGAATCAGTCTCTAGACTTTGTTCACTTATAAGTTTCGAAGATCATCTTAATGGGACTCCGAAATTAATAATATTGATATGTTTTATAAATTTCCACTTACTTCATCTCTAAAATATTACTGATGCCATCAAATATTTCAACATTGTTTTTTCCGTTTAAAACCTTATGAGTTTTCTTCTTGAGTACTCATAATTTCAGCTTATTTTTTGCATTGACTGTTCAGTTTAAAGTAATATCTTTGTCGTTAACTTCGAACAAACTTTCAAATATTTAAAACGGGTTAAATACAAAATATCCTTACTTTGAATGCCGGAATACCTGAAACGACAACTAATATGTGGATTTTGACTTAATTAGATTAATGCGTTGACCTGTTGAGTCGAAGTTTTGAAGATGTCGGTGACCAGTTATTACCTAGGTACTTAGCAAAATAATCCTCCGAAAGCTCGATGCACAAGTTAATTATCTAGTAATCTATCTAGCTAGTATTTTACCAGTCTTTAAATTGACTGCAGTGTCTATGTAACGAAAATGCCCAACAGTACCGAAGATATTGACCATGTACATTAACAGTATTTTAGTGGCCCGAGATCTGACTCATGAAAGATCATTTTCTACTTGTTATTGAAATATACATGTCGCCAGTCCTCGTATATAATTATCAATTTAACTCGCGATAGTGAATAATGGAATTAAAATAAGTCAAATTCGAGAATGGATTTTTGAAAACGTATATTTCGTACAATCGGTGATCAGAAAGCGAAAACAAAATGACGTGCGACGGAGGTGTGTGAGCCAACTCGATTTAACCAAACGTGAATCGATATTTATAGTCAGACAAAAATAAGTTAGAGACATGTGATTAGTAAGATAAGAAATGCACACATATATGCTTACATAAAAACAGTCAAGGTTGATAAGCGAATAAGTGACAGGGAAAAGATGTGGCTTGAGAAGAACCAATAGATTGGTTTGTCCGAATGCTAGAATAACCTACAGTATAATTACTTGAAAGTGTTAATGATGTGATAAAGTATAGTTTTAAAAATAAGTTTATATAGCATCACTTTATTGACTAAACCTATAAATCAATAGTTAACAGAATCGGTGATTGTTTCGAATTACTTTAGTAAATGAAATACACAAAAATACAAGAATAAGTCTCTTAATTTGCGAGCAATATTCATTTGAAATTGCTATTTCTCACACAGTTTGTGAATGTGCACTTATGCTCTTGAAATAAATAAAAAGAGTTCAGTAAACAATGAGATTTACAGACAAATTTCATGAAAGACTTAGAGTGTAGCCTATAGAATGCAGATACTCTGTGTCGATGGTTTGTCTCCGGCTATTCCTATAAGTGGAAAGTGAATAATGTTACATAATAAGAAGATAAACTTTTTAGCCTTTAGGAACATTGATGCATGCTAAATTCTCACCTGTCATCGGGAGAATTCTATTACTTCTGTACATTTTATTTATTTTAACTAGTAAAAGAAACGAAACCAGTAAATAAAACCTGTGAACATAAAATTTTTGTTCCTATGTAACTATATACCACCTTTTATTTGAATAAGATGATTTCAATACCCGTAGTCTCGTATAAAATGTTAATGGGTATAAAATACTCTTTATATATTCAGTAACAGTGTCAAACTTTGTATTTTTCTTAGTTTACTAGTTAAAAATCAAGTCCGGTAATTTGTGGAAAAAATCCTATCAGTTCTTGACAAATATATCAGTAAATTAATAACATTTTTGTCTATCATATTGGGTAATTTTGATACTTTCAGAAAAGGTTGTTTTCACTAAAACTTCTAACAGCCAAAAAAACTAGATAAGTGATTTATCCTATCTTTAATTATGTTTAAGATTATACAATATTGATTAATATCAGAACAATATCAGGAGTCTTTACGTTAAATTTTGATCATGTAAGACTTTCAGGAATAACAATAAAGAGTAAACAATACGGATAACACAATGTTGTTATAATAACATAAGTATTTCAGCTGTATTTAATTAACTGTTAATATTTACCTAGGAAGATATGGAATAAATGAATATGAATACGACAATTGGAAATTCAGATTACGTGCTTAACTTAGTTAAACACTATGAACAAAATCTGTTACCAAGATTCGACTAAGGCTACACCGGTTACATTCACTTGCATGATTATTATTTTTATTACTA